GCACGCCCCCCCGTCCTCCAGCCGCCTCCTCTGCTCCACTTCCGCCGCCGGCTGTTGTTCTTCAGCTCCTCCAGCTCCCTCTCCATCAAGTGAGTCTCGGCTGTGGTCTCAGAGAGCTGCAACACACAGCAAACAACTTGAGTGAGGGACCCCAGCCATCACCCTGTGCTACAGTTGGCACCCTCAGCACCTGCTGCCCACCTTGGACACAGCCGGGAGGACTCGTGTCCTGCTTTCGGCTGGGATGCAGGGGTAAATTGCTGCCTAGTAGCAGGTACAGTGCTGTGGTTTGGATTTGGTGTGAGAATAATGTTGGTAACACACGGGTGGTTTAGTTGTTTTACCTGCATGGAGAGGGCCTGAGGGAGTGGGATGGAAAACATGCCTGGATGCTAGGGGCATGAGTTGATGAGTTGCAAGGAAAAACAGTCACAAACAAGGGTTTTTCCAGGAGAAATGCTGCTGCAGTCTTCAGTGGGCAGCTTACCAGACAACTGGAAGGGATGAATTTACTCCTAACCTTATGGAAAGGAAATCTAATTGGATTTTAGAAGAAGTGAGTGGAGAATCCTATGACCAGTACTAGAGGGGCCATGCCTGTTATTTTCTTTATTATTACTGTTATTAGTATTATTTAATAATAATAGTAACAAGAAGGAATATAATAAAAAAAAGAGATAAATAGAACCCAATAAAGACACTTAATAGACTGAGAATACACATGTATTCTATTCCACTGAAAGTGTCTCCAGATTTTAAGCATGAAAGCTGTTCTCTCTGGGTAGGGTTGAATTTTGATTTACTTTTGGGCTTGGGAATTCTTTCATCCACAGGATTATGCACAGAATGGATGTCACACCCCTTGTCACAGCAGATGGAAGCTCCAGCCTTCTGCATCCAGAAAGGGTGGCTGTAACTCAGTTTCACACTTAGGGCAGAGGCCAGAGGGGCAAGAAAATGATCAGAACTCCACCAAAGTCAGGCTCTGCTGTGGGGGAGCATCCCCCTCTTCTCACAGAGGAGCTCGGACTTCACTCCCACCTTACAGTCGTCTCGTCTAAAGCAGAACGAGCAGGCTGCAGGCAGAAAGACCTCCATTTGGCATTCCCAGCACCCTCCACATGGGCATTTCTACTGCAACGGGCAGTGGGCAGCTGAGCAAAGCCTCACCATGTCCAGCAGAATATCCACTTTCAGCCGCAGGAGGTTGTTCTCTTCCTCCAGCTGCTGGTTCCTCTTGCGCAGGCGCTGCAGCTCCCTGCGATCCCCCGGGAAGCTCCCCGATTCTGGAAGGAAAGAAAAGAGATCAGAATATGGATTGCCAGCGGGGTGAGTTCAGAAGGAAGCCAGCTGAGCTGCACTCTACCTGCCACCCACTGGCCGTTTTCAAACTTGAGGCTCTGGCCAGCGAGGTTCATGGTGGGCACGCCGTACTCCAGCCCCAGCTCCATCTCCCGGGTCGACCTATCCAGCTGCAGGGAGAAGAGCACACTCAGGGGGTTTGTAGAAATCCAAAGCCTCCCCCTTCTCTCCCATTTCTTGGTGACTTCCAGTGGAAGCTGCTGGTCTGAGTGGCCCCAGCGCATGAAATCCTCCCTGGGTCATGTGCTGGAGCAGTAGAGGACTGGCTCCTCTCACTGCTGTGCCTCCACTTTCTCCCCCCCAAACCTACAGTCGCCTCCCTGTGCTTGTGTGAGAAGTTTTAGGTGAAAGTTCTGGACTGTGGGGGGGGTGATGATCCCACCCCGAGCTATCCCGTTTCCACCTTCGTTTATCATCCCCAGCGA